TCAATCATGATGACACTGATGATGACAGGCAGACAGCAACCAGTGGAAAAGTTCCATGTCAGACCTTCCCTGTCCCTATGGACCTTCCTGGTGATTTAGATGTTATGACAGTTAGCTGTGGATCAAGACACACTGCTGCAATAGCTGGTACATCAAGCAAATATCATTTCCATTTCTTAGTTTTTTTGTGTGTGCGTGTGTTTGAAAGGAATAATCATGGGCTCAAAAAAAGGGGACCTGCGAAGGGACGTTTACCTTGCACGTCCATTTTTTCTTGAGCCCATATCCCTGTTAAGCATCTGCTACATGCAGTAGGCTAATTCGTGTAAAATGTACAGTCGACTCCCGATAACTCGAACCTTCAAGGGAAATCGAAAAAAGTTCGAGTTATCGGGAGTTTGAAGAAAATAGCCGAGAGTAACGTAAAAAACAGTTTTTACTGCACATTGAACATTTTTATCACATTTAGTTGTAGAAATGTCAAGTGAATTTTAAAAGATACTTCTAGATTATAAATCAGAACGTAACGTAACAAGACATAGCCTAAATAGAGCATGCGTTTTACTGTTTTGAGAAGAAAATAATTAAGCTGCTTCACCGTAGCCTCTGACAATCAACATCAGCCTCCACTAGTAAACTATACTCCTACAACACGTCAATGGGAAATCCAAAATTCAATGTTTCGGACGCCAGAAGACGGCTTTTTTCCCGACTTTTTAAGGGCTCAAAACATGGTTCGAGTTATCGAGGGTAAAATTATATGGAAAATGACCTGAGGGGAAACGAAGATTGGTTCGAGTTATCGAGGTTTCGAGTTACCGGGGGTAAAATTACAGTGAATGTATGACGGAAATCCAGGGGAAATCGATCTTGGTTCGAGTTAGCGAGAGTTTGAGTTATCGTGAGTCGACTGTATGCACCGTACAGTATGATGCTACAACGTTTTTACCAACTTCCTTTTCTTTTTCAGGTGATGGAAGTGTATGGACCTGGGGATGGGGTAAGATTTCATCAGTTTTATTTTTTACTTCCCTTCCGCTCTCAGATAAAAGGGATGCAAAAAGAATCTCCTATGATAAGGATGTATTTGAAGTGAAATTTAGTCTTAATATGTTTTTGCAGTCCTCTGTTTTTGAGTAGCTTTTACAGACATTAACAAGAGGGCCCCAGTCCGCTGATTGAGATTCCGCTGGCAAAAGGTCAACTGTACTTTGTTTAATGTCGGGTTTACATCTTATATGCTTTACAATTCCTAAAGCTACCACTAACGTCCGTTTGTTACTGCGTTCGTTCTAGCGTTAACTCACACGTTACATGACAATACCTAATATGCATATTATTCCCGCCACTAAGCGTGTCGTGCATGAAGTCACGACATAACACTTTGGTGATAAACGACCTAGCGGGAAAGCAAACTGAACATTAGCGAAACCACTCGCTAGATAAGCGATCAGGGTGGGTTGCCGTATTCCAGGGTACGACAAAAGTGCTGTACAACAGCGCGGGGCTTTTGCAGCGACTTGTCAGCCCAGCATGTTTTAATTACGAGTTAACTGACGGTCATCAACAAGATAAAGTAAATGTTAGTGGGAAGGGGGTTCGGTAGGCCTGCACGACTTGTCCGGCTCTTTTTTAAACTTTCTTCTGGTTATACCTTCCTTAAACGGAGAGTGCTCGCCCAAACCACGCCCCCATCGCGCCCCCTTACTGCTTCTGCTGTTGCCAGATAAATAAAAAAAAGAGTACATGAATGGTACATTTATGTTCCAGGGCATTATGGCCAACTTGGACACGGAGACACAGTGAGCAAATATACGCCATCTCAAGTCCATTTCTTCTCCTCATTAAAACACAAAGCAAAGACACTGTGTTGTGGCGATTGGTCGACGTTTGTGATAGCTGCAAAATGATCTGCAGCTGTACATTTTGCTGAGCACTATAGCGACGTGAGAGTTTTTTGAGGGACATGTTGTAAATGCCAGCCAGAATTAAATGTACCAGGCCACGAGGAAGGGTTTACATTCAAGTTGCAGGCTTTCTTTTGTTTTCTGTATCAGTCGCCTTGAAAGTAGCTAACGAGACAAAGCGGGCTTGTTTCTGAGCTACATATATGAAGGAGCTGACCAGGGTTAATTCTAGATCGCGACCTTGCGGGATTCCCGCAATTTGGAAAAAAAATGCCGCATAAAATTTACGTTGTCGCGTTAAATGGGGCGCAAACAAAATAGACCCAAGGCTAAGTACTATTTTTTTTTTTAATAAAGTATTCGAAAAAAAGTATTTATTTATTTATTTATTTATTTATTTTTGAATATTGTAATTTTACCAGGTAATTTTACTGGTTTTTAATTTAGTTATTAATAATATTGTAATGCGCTTTTGAGTATTTTTATAGAAAAAGCGCAATATAAGTATTAAATATTATTATTATTATTATTAAACATCACCGACAACAACACTGATTTGACGGCCGCTCTATAACTTACTTTGAACGTTTATAGCATTTTAATGTCTCAATTGCCTTTCTCTCCTTCGTTTGAGTCATTATTTCACCAGAATAACTTCGTGGATTTTGCAGTAATTCGAGCCCAGGCTTTTTCAGTTGCCCAGAATGTCCCAAAGTGGCGGCAAATCGTCCAGCGAGCCATGTAGAGTGTCAAAAGTCTCAAAAAGCACTCAGATTTTTTTGGATTTGGTGCCCCCTTTCTTGGACCCCCTTTTTTGTAAAAGGGCCGCCTAAAATTACAGAATTGGGCCGCACCCACTAACAAACCGTAGTGCTTACCCCGGGAGGGAACCCCTTCATGTAAGCCATGTACGTATGTTTCGCCTCAAAGGTTATGTGTTTTTTTGCACCGTTTTGGTCTGAAAAGGCCATAGACTTACCCCATTTTTGTCTGAAATGGGATACGGTTTTCGAGGTAACAGTGGTAGTGTATGAACGTATTTGTCGTTTCAAGAGAGAGAAATATGGAGTTTTAGAAATATTTTCTTGGCGTTCTAATCTAAGTAATTATGTCAGGTCTGAATTAGAGGCTAGGTTTGAGAACGTATGTGGAAAATACATGAGAAAATATGGAGAACATATAGGGCGAAGTTTAAACTTTGCCCCATATGTCCTCTGTATTTACTCATATTATGAAACCCGTATGTGACACAGTGAGCCTGGGGTAACTGTGGTCAAAAATATGAAACAGCAAACTGATCCTTACGGCAAGGCGATGAAGAAGTGAACAAAAAAATAAAACAAAAAACATATATTTAAACAAATTGCCCAATATTTCGGTTTGAAAACAAACCTTCAGGGACCAAGAGAAAAATGGAAATAAAACTAAAAATTCATTGCAAATAAGAATTTGAAAAAGTGACAGTAAAAACAATGGATTGTTATTGGTCTAGGAGATTAGGTGGTATCATATATCAGTGAGCCTCGTCACGTCTATTTATTCATAGAGGAAATAATGTGTTCCCTTTGTGTATTAAATGAGCTTCTCGAACCTTTGTCACTGCATTTACAGTTGCTGTGTATGACTTCAAGTGGGATTAGCATTTGTCTTCCCTAAAACTAGTTAAACGTCAATTATCATACTGTACACATCATTTATGACAATCACAAGGTTGAAGTATAGAAAATGTTAGGAAAATAGACTGTTCTTGGAAATTGTTTGCCTCATATGTACCCTGTCTGTGGTAGTGTCAAGTTCAAAGTCCTTTTGATAACATAATAATGTTAGCTGAACATAGCTGTAACAGGTCAAAATTAAATTCAGGGTAACATTTTTGGACCTAGGTTGATTCTTAGTTTTCTTTGTCTCCTATCTCTATTTCATGAACAGTTAGGGCTAGAAGACAAAGGAAATTAAGAATCAACCTTGGTTAAAACATTTAAACCTGATTATAACTTTGACCTGTAACGTGGCCACTTTAGCTGTTTGGCGGCATAGAACTAACAGGTTTATAATCATGTCACCAGAAAATGATCTTACACCTCAAAATGGCACAAACTGATTGAGACCTTTCCTCACTTTATCATACATTAAGTGCGAAAAATATACATATTTAAAGCTCTTTAACTCAAAGTTACACAGCTTGCATCTAAGTGAGATCTATAACTCTGTTAGTGACTTGACTGGACTCAACGGAATTAATCTCAATGTATACTACGAGATGTGTCAAAATAATTATCTTTAGTTCCACATGGTTGCCAGAATACCATCTAATTTCAAAAACTATGATCTATTATCTATAAGAAAATGGGACAGTCCAAACCATGGGGTGGATTCCTGGAGTTAAAGAAGGTGGTGAAGTAGAGAATCTCCTCCCAGATTATTTTGTCACAGATGCATGCTGTAGTTGGAGACGACTTGCATTTCTGACGAGTGATGGCGAATGTGTTCTTTGGAGTGACTACACCAATGGACAGCTGCATCCAAGAAAAGTTGAGGCCAGTAACAGAAAATTTAAGGCTGCAGGATGCTTAGAATCGAGCTGCATACTTCTAACAGGCAAGTTTTACTTCATGCTTAAAATATCAAGGATAAGGATCATTCTCTGAAATACCTGGAGACATACATATTGTACAGAAATCAGACTGCCATCAATACAAGTTATTTTGCTCATTTTAAGTTACCTGGTCAAGTGCCTACCCATATATGGTGGTGTATTACTATAAATTTTGCCATGCATGATTGTAATCCCTTATTACAGAATAATTCCATAATGCTTTTATCAGTTAACTTAAATGCCTTTCACATCTGAAGGAGCACCTTTAGAAAATGCACAAGTCACCTTTCTTTAATCAGTTCAACCCTGAATGGCAATATTATTGTTCTGGTTACTGTGTCCTTTTGATTTTACATGTATTATACATTATACCTCATCCATCTGCAAACTGTCTCAAATTAGGCATTTCTTTTGCATAGATGATGGCCAACCTGGTTATGTACTACATGAACAAGACCAGAATGCCACCAAAGATTTAAACAAATCAGCTTCAATGATCTTTAGACCAATGGACCTGATGAAACAGATGATATCAGTTGCTTGTGGCAAGGAACATGCACTGCTTTTATCTTCATCAGGAGAAGTTTACAGTCTTGGCAATGGAAGGTATATGGTGGGGTCTGAAATTGACTGACTTTTCAATACAGGCTCTATCTGACAAAGTAATACACATTTAAAATTTTTGGTCATTAGTCGGCCTAAAGTGGATGCCAGAAAATGTTCCCCTTTCTTTAATGGCTTGGGGAAAAAAAGAATGAATGCTTTGGACGTTTTATGCTCTTGTTAAAACTGGCCTACTGTACTCTGGTGATAGCATGATTTTGTGGAAATGGGTATAGAAGTATTTTCAGTTTTGTTTCAATGATGCAATGAGTTTCATTTCATGGAGAGATTATTTGTTGTGGAATTAAGACCAGCTACCCCTTAATTTATTCATCATTTCAAAACCGTATAGCAGGGCTTCTGATATTTCGCGGGAAAAAAGCAAAATTTCGCGGGATTTTCAGGGGCAAATTCGCGGAAAAATCGGCCGATTTCGCGGGAAAAAAGTCAAACTTCGCGGGAAAATCGGCCGATTTCGCGGGAAATTTCGGGGGGAAACTTCGCCAAGAAACAATCAGTGAAAAACAGCCGATTTCGCTGGATTTGTTTGGCAAATTTAACAGGGATAATCATTTGCTCTTTCAACAACAGTTTGCTCGAGAAATGAGCGAATGCTAAAGCTATTAACATTATGGTTAGTGCCCAGTTTTTCGCAACATTAATCTAAGAACGCCTGGTAGTTTTGGGACGTTGTTTACTCCTTGCAGTGATGAAGTTTCAAGATAAATTTGTGCGTTTGGGGTGAATAAAACAGGTGTTATGGCGAAGATAAGTATTAAATATGTTTTGCCGACAAGTATTTGGAAATATTTCTGGCGGATTTCGCGGTATTTCGCGTTTTTGGGGGAATTTCGTGGGATTTCGCGGAAATACCTGAATTTCGCGGGTCCGCGACCGCGCGAAATATCAGAAGCCCTGGTATAGTGAGGGAGTTGTGCAGTACACTGTTCTGGAGATTTAGTGCCTAGTACAGTGTAGGTATTCTGTCACTTGTGTTTGGTGAGTGGGAATTTTAATCTTTACGAGTGTGCATCTCTGTTTTGTTTCTTTTGTTTTCTGTTTTTGTTTTTGTTTGTTTGTGTGGTTTTTTTTTTAATTTTTACCCTAGTGAAGCTACTGAAAATTATTACTATAATGAATATTGGTCTTTTACAGACTTTGTCACAAACAACAGCAGTAAACACCTGCATATACAGTTAGAACCTATGATTTTGGGCTTCAGGCTGATTAAGTTCCGGCATCTTCTTTCTTATTTTTTAAGAACATGTTTGATTTTATCAGGCTGGATTGGTTCTTTAAAATATAATATATGGTGAGCTTTTATTTATTGGCCAATTTTCAGCCTGATGATGTTCTTAAGTAATCCACTTGCTCTTATCAGGGCAAAAACTTTTCTTTCTTTGTCCAAAGAAAATAAAATGCTGCCAAAACAGGTTTCGACATTTGCAACCTGTGGGTTTACCAATGCGACTAGTTTTTTTTATTTTACTAAGTGGCAACCAACTTTTCACTCCTGGTTGCCAACCTGGCCCCCAAGATAATTATGTTACCTTCTTTGGGAAAGCGTATACTTATGATGATCCATTATTTGTTAGAAAACTAACGGATAGCAAACGGCTTTTCTAACTTTCAAAAGGTTTGCCCAAACGGTTTGTCTATCTTGATTGCACAATCGATTGCCAATTTACAATGTTCTTATAAAAAATTACAGAAAAATAATCGAGAAAGATTGTTGTCTATATCTTGGCACTTTAATATTTCTTGAACTTCTTGTAAACAACTTTAAGCCCATCGCGTAGAGCGTGTTGTGAAGACCCATATTAAAGCTCTGCTGTATTTTATTGACTTCCAGTAACATACTGTTGAAGACACCCCTGGAAGTGAGGCTGTTTGTCAAACAGACTTCTCACCAAGTCAACTTCTTTGCCCGTAAATATCAGCAACGTTTTCTTCTTTGTGGAGGAGACTTTTGATCATGTGCTAGGCAATTTCTGAACATCAATGCAAATATGGGACGCAAAACAAATGTTTGCAGATTTTTTTTTTCTTTCTGAACCCTAATAAGTTTTTCAGTCTGTGATTCCAAAGTTTGTTTAACTACATGTGTTTGTTCAACTGCATTTCCTGAAGCTTAAATACCTGTTTGAGGAGATTTATGCCTCACAATTATATATATTTACGAGAAATTCGAGATGCCGCCATAGTATGTGAGTTCTTCGAGAGATGTTATGAATTTAAGAATGGACATTGTTAATAAAACAGCCTGGCGAAAACCGCTGGAAAGGAAGTTGTTGGTTTTAAGATCTTACAAAATAATGTTAAATTACTGACTTGAGCATTCTTTTTCTGTTAAAGCTAAGTAAAAGACATTTAGTTTCCCGTATTTCATTTATTCTTTAATATAATTTTTGGCAACAAGAATACTTGTTCTGGTGACCAAAAATAAAGCAATGGGCGTCAGCTGGCCCCAAGATTTGAATCGAGCACTGCTGTGACAATTCAAGTTACTTTTCAGTACTTTATTCTATTCAAGCTATCGACTCACGATAAATTTCACTTGTCCAGTTGGATGAGTGCTTTATGAGTTTGAGTCATCTGAGGCCAAAACCTATTTGTCTCAGTTTAGCGGACGAGTGAAAGTTTTTTGCCCTGCTAATATACATTATTCTCACACAGTAGAGGACAACTTGGACGTGGTTTAATAGTTGAAGAACAAAATGCTGCAGTTATTCCAGCCCTGGAGGGAATCAAGATTCAGTTTATAGCTGCAGGTGGTTGGCATTCTGCAGCAGTAAGTGGTAAGAGTGCATTTTATTAATTTTTTCAAATATTTTCTTCCCTTAATTGCGCAGTTATTTATATCTATTTAATATTTCAGTCAGGGATTACTGGTCGTACCGTAGTTAGTAGATCGAGGAGACTGGTTATGAAAGGTGGCAAACAACAAATTGTGACTGAATGAACTGATGCGACATTTTAATTGGTCAATAAAATTAGCGTGGGAGCAAGCTCTCCAGGGCGCTCTGGCAGTGGGGCAGGAAAAGGAAGGAGAACTTGCAACTGTGTCTCTGGAATTTGAATTCCACCTCCAATTCCCCTGTGGCTCCCCGTCGACTGAGCTGTCAGATTTCCGCCAATCAGCGCGAAGTGAAAATGAACGCGAAGTGAAAATGAGCGCGAATGTAAACAAACATTGAAAACCACTTGCCAAGGGTAATGACGTCGTTACCAATGTCATCCAATCAGCATTTGACATCAACTTTTTCGATGCAGATAGGCAAATTCCAGAGACCAGTAAGTAGTTGCAAGCTCTCCTTCCTTTTCCCACCCCACCGCCAGAACGCCCTAGAGAGCTTGTTCACAAGCTGCGATAATACCAAAATGATAGGGATGCTATTGAACGTTGCGCATCATCAGGTCCACAAATACAATAACAAAGAAGTCTGACAGACTTCATAGCCATTCCACTCTATTTGCATGGTTGTACTTATACAGCAGTCCCCAGGGGCGGATCCAGGATTTTTTTTAGGAGGGGGTGCACTCGTCTCTTGCTCTACTTCAACACCAATAAACCACATAGTTTTTTTTTTTTGGGCAGAATACCAGTTGTATTAAAACACCGAAAGGTCATCTCAGGGGGGGTGCGCACCCCCTGCGCCCACCCCCTAGATCCGCCCCTGGTCCCACACTCATGGTTTGGGTTATTTTAGACTGGGTTTCAACCATCAGAGAACATTATTTTGAATGGAGTAACAAATTCTTATTGTTGGGTTCCAAATTCCCATTATTCTATATTTGTATTCTACCTACATTGTAACATTACCTGTTCCTTAGGTCTTTCTCCGTTATCTCTCTTTGTTGTAATTTTTAGTTTCCTTAAACATGTATTTCTATGAGGATGACTTGTTTATGACTAGAGCAATGGTATCAAAGCAGCTGTTTAAATGCAGATTTTTAGCTTCTGAGAAAACTTAAACTGTCTGTCAAAATGTTCTCTTTAAAGTCTGTTAAACTAAATCACCCAGTCTTTCCTCCTTTCCCACCCCACCCTCAAAGTTTTTTATGGTCGGCCCCTTACTGTTACCCCTTACTATTAAAGGCACTAAGAAATGATAAAATAAGACAAATCAAAGACATAAAAAATAAATATCTGAATAGTAAATTTGATCTTCATCTTCATCCAGATCTGTCTGGCAAATACAGTAATGACTGTGTGTGTGAGGTCGGATCGATTCCATGTCTGAATGTCTCGTATCACTTTCAGAACTCATTATTCTTGTTTTATCTACAGATGTTTACATTCAAGCTTTAGCTACTTTCCTTTGATTTGTGCTGTTTTTAACTGAAAGAGGTCAGGGACAACGATAAAAATCTCCACACACTGCTTGGGAAATCTGCTTGCCGTGAAACAGAATGTCCTGAAATGACGTTGCAGTCATTCCCAAAATGTGATATGGAGAGAGATTGTATCGTTTGTACCCCACTGGAAGTGAAATTTCGCGTTTTTGGTTGGTCAGAAAATATTTCCTTATCAGTACACCGTGTTAAGATTCTATCTAGCATATTAAAAAAAAATTGTCACATACACTGTAAAGGCTCAACACATGTTTCATTCACATTGTGTTTTGTTTATTGATCTACTATTTAATAGAATGTGGTGATCTTTACATGTGGGGATGGAACGAGACAGGACAGCTGGGTTTGTCTGTCAATCATGATGACACTGATGATGACAGGCAGACAGCAACCAGTGGAAAAGTTCCATGTCAGACCTTCCCTGTCCCTATGGACCTTCCTGGTGATTTAGATGTTATGACAGTTAGCTGTGGATCAAGACACACTGCTGCAATAGCTGGTACATCAAGCAAATATCATTTCCATTTCTTAGTTTTTTTGTGTGTGCGTGTGTTTGAAAGGAATAATCATGGGCTCAAAAAAAGGGGACCTGCGAAGGGACGTTTACCTTGCACGTCCATTTTTTCTTGAGCCCATATCCCTGTTAAGCATCTGCTACATGCAGTAGGCTAATTCGTGTAAAATGTACAGTCGACTCCCGATAACTCGAACCTTCAAGGGAAATCGAAAAAAGTTCGAGTTATCGGGAGTTTGAAGAAAATAGCCGAGAGTAACGTAAAAAACAGTTTTTACTGCACATTGAACATTTTTATCACATTTAGTTGTAGAAATGTCAAGTGAATTTTAAAAGATACTTCTAGATTATAAATCAGAACGTAACGTAACAAGACATAGCCTAAATAGAGCATGCGTTTTACTGTTTTGAGAAGAAAATAATTAAGCTGCTTCACCGTAGCCTCTGACAATCAACATCAGCCTCCACTAGTAAACTATACTCCTACAACACGTCAATGGGAAATCCAAAATTCAATGTTTCGGACGCCAGAAGACGGCTTTTTTCCCGACTTTTTAAGGGCTCAAAACATGGTTCGAGTTATCGAGGGTAAAATTATATGGAAAATGACCTGAGGGGAAACGAAGATTGGTTCGAGTTATCGAGGTTTCGAGTTACCGGGGGTAAAATTACAGTGAATGTATGACGGAAATCCAGGGGAAATCGATTTTGGTTCGAGTTAGCGCGAGGTTCGAGTTAGCGAGGGTTTGAGTTATCGTGAGTCGACTGTATGCACCGTACAGTATGATGCTACAACGTTTTTACCAACTTCCTTTTCTTTTTCAGGTGATGGAAGTGTATGGACCTGGGGATGGGGTAAGATTTCATCAGTTTTATTTTTTACTTCCCTTCCGCTCTCAGATAAAAGGGATGCAAAAAGAATCTCCTATGATAAGGATGTATTTGAAGTGAAATTTAGTCTTAATATGTTTTTGCAGTCCTCTGTTTTTGAGTAGCTTTTACAGACATTAACAAGAGGGCCCCAGTCCGCTGATTGAGATTCCGCTGGCAAAAGGTCAACTGTACTTTGTTTAATGTCGGGTTTACATCTTATATGCTTTACAATTCCTAAAGCTACCACTAACGTCCGTTTGTTACTGCGTTCGTTCTAGCGTTAACTCACACGTTACATGACAATACCTAATATGCATATTATTCCCGCCACTAAGCGTGTCGTGCATGAAGTCACGACATAACACTTTGGTGATAAACGACCTAGCGGGAAAGCAAACTGAACATTAGCGAAACCACTCGCTAGATAAGCGATCAGGGTGGGTTGCCGTATTCCAGGGTACGACAAAAGTGCTGTACAACAGCGCGGGGCTTTTGCAGCGACTTGTCAGCCCAGCATGTTTTAATTACGAGTTAACTGACGGTCATCAACAAGATAAAGTAAATGTTAGTGGGAAGGGGGTTCGGTAGGCCTGCACGACTTGTCCGGCTCTTTTTTAAACTTTCTTCTGGTTATACCTTCCTTAAACGGAGAGTGCTCGCCCAAACCACGCCCCCATCGCGCCCCCTTACTGCTTCTGCTGTTGCCAGATAAATAAAAAAAAGAGTACATGAATGGTACATTTATGTTCCAGGGCATTATGGCCAACTTGGACACGGAGACACAGTGAGCAAATATACGCCATCTCAAGTCCATTTCTTCTCCTCATTAAAACACAAAGCAAAGACACTGTGTTGTGGCGATTGGTCGACGTTTGTGATAGCTGCAAAATGATCTGCAGCTGTACATTTTGCTGAGCACTATAGCGACGTGAGAGTTTTTTGAGGGACATGTTGTAAATGCCAGCCAGAATTAAATGTACCAGGCCACGAGGAAGGGTTTACATTCAAGTTGCAGGCTTTCTTTTGTTTTCTGTATCAGTCGCCTTGAAAGTAGCTAACGAGACAAAGCGGGCTTGTTTCTGAGCTACATATATGAAGGAGCTGACCAGGGTTAATTCTAGATCGCGACCTTGCGGGATTCCCGCAATTTGGAAAAAAAATGCCGCATAAAATTTACGTTGTCGCGTTAAATGGGGCGCAAACAAAATAGACCCAAGGCTAAGTACTATTTTTTTTTTTAATAAAGTATTCGAAAAAAAGTATTTATTTATTTATTTATTTATTTATTTTTGAATATTGTAATTTTACCAGGTAATTTTACTGGTTTTTAATTTAGTTATTAATAATATTGTAATGCGCTTTTGAGTATTTTTATAGAAAAAGCGCAATATAAGTATTAAATATTATTATTATTATTATTAAACATCACCGACAACAACACTGATTTGACGGCCGCTCTATAACTTACTTTGAACGTTTATAGCATTTTAATGTCTCAATTGCCTTTCTCTCCTTCGTTTGAGTCATTATTTCACCAGAATAACTTCGTGGATTTTGCAGTAATTCGAGCCCAGGCTTTTTCAGTTGCCCAGAATGTCCCAAAGTGGCGGCAAATCGTCCAGCGAGCCATGTAGAGTGTCAAAAGTCTCAAAAAGCACTCAGATTTTTTTGGATTTGGTGCCCCCTTTCTTGGACCCCCTTTTTTGTAAAAGGGCCGCCTAAAATTACAGAATTGGGCCGCACCCACTAACAAACCGTAGTGCTTACCCCGGGAGGGAACCCCTTCATGTAAGCCATGTACGTATGTTTCGCCTCAAAGGTTATGTGTTTTTTTGCACCGTTTTGGTCTGAAAAGGCCATAGACTTACCCCATTTTTGTCTGAAATGGGATACGGTTTTCGAGGTAACAGTGGTAGTGTATGAACGTATTTGTCGTTTCAAGAGAGAGAAATATGGAGTTTTAGAAATATTTTCTTGGCGTTCTAATCTAAGTAATTATGTCAGGTCTGAATTAGAGGCTAGGTTTGAGAACGTATGTGGAAAATGACTCTCTTTTTGCCCGAAATAGGGTCGGAGAACCGTGCGGCACATCCCCCACCAAGAAATCTCAGGAGTACCCTCCGGGAGTGCTTATTAATTTCACCGTTTTTAACATCGCTAGTGCTGATTATTATTGCTGTTATTGTTATTAATTCGGATCGGGAAGGGGGCAGACAGCTTCGATGATGCCGCCTATTGTTTTTGTTGTCCTCTTATCAACCTTCCCGTTATTTTAGTGCTATCTCGGTTTAAGCGCCGCTTTTAGAAACAAACTAATGATGAGTATTCAAACTTTTCAGTTTCCAAAAACTCTGGACTGTTGCCTTAAAGGGGCTGTGTCACATCTGTCTGGTTCATTTTGTTAAGATTGCCAATACAGTTGAACCTCTATAAGCGACCACCTCGCGTAAGCGACCACCTCCCATAATCCACCGCCAGTCCAAAACACTAAAATTTTTCCAGTGATTTTGTTACCTCTGCGTCCTGCGTCCCAGATGCATAATGATCCCCAAGGACGCAAATTAATTCGTGAAATGCGTCCCGTACGACGCAGAGAACGATCGATCGATTTGAAAATTTTTAGGTAGAATTTCCTGTTCGTGTGATTTCTGTGGCTATTGTTTAAAGATGCCGAAGAACTTTAGTGACAACGTGGAACTACACATATCCTAACTTGGACATTACATGCAATAAATTATCTTCCATAAAGTAGATGTGCCTGGACCTCTTCTCGAAAGAGGCCCCTGTAGTTCAATTCTTGTAAACGACCACCTCCCGTAAGCGACCACTCAGTCTTTACATTTTGGGTCGTCGCTTACGGGAGATTTGACTGAGGTACATTTTACAGTTACTGGTGCAAACGAGGCTGGAGCTGACATTGTTTTGATACAACCCTTCCTGCTTTATAGAGTGTTTTCACATGACGTCACGGCGGCCATATTGGTGTCCCAAACCAATGAAACGCTGGCCATGTTGATGTCCTAAACCAGTCCCCTGGGAGCTGAACTCTTTTCCTATGCAAACGCTTTCTTATGTTACAATAAATTTGCATATATGCTAGCCACGTGAGTGAAAACACTCTTTTATATTAATTTATGTTATTCTTATGCTAACTAGTATTTTTTAGCATGATTTTCGTAAGAAAAGGAAAGAGGTTTTTTATCAAAACAAAGTCAACCTCAGTCATACGTTCACTCAGGGGCTTGGGTACTGAGCTCATAACTATAAAATGTTCTATTACGTTTCCTTATGCGCTATCAAACTTAACGTTAGCGAAGAAATAACTTGTAAACGACGAAATCGCAGCCTCTTGCGCCACAAATATTCTTCCCAAGCATTGTATCGAACGTTACAAACAACAAATATGAACTTTGAAAAACTGTTAGGCTGATTCACGTTCATTTTTACATTTTATTGAAATCGCGCAAGTCTACTTGCGTTCAGCGGTTTGTAGAGTGTAGAAGGGTCAATTGCAAAACGAAAGAGTGATAAAAACTTTTCGGAAACAGCCAAGAAGAAGCAAATTTGTCTGCATTAAGTTCAGTCTTCAGTTCGTGCATAATTTATAAACTTTTCCTCTTTGCCACCCAGTCACGCTTGCATGGTTTTCTATACAGATCCTTGTAAATTCTAAAATATTTAAACTGTCGTTAAATCTTTCTCTTACGCGTTTAAGGGCTCAAATTGCCTGTTATGAATTAAAAGGAGATTCGAGCCCTGTAATGCTTTTAGGAAATATTTCATGAAAGTTTTGAAAATTTCGAAATTACAAGGATTTGTATGGAAAACCATGAAAGCGTGACTGGATGGCAAAAGTTGTTTTTCTCATACAAGTACTTCCAACTTTCGGCGGCCGTTGCAATCGTTGCTTTTAAGACATACGGCTGAAAATTCTCAGGTTACCTAATTTTAATACGATTTTTCAGCTTAAGCTAACAAAGTTTTTCAAAGTGAACATTTTTCGTGTTTACCAAAAGTTGATCACGTGATCAAGTCACGCAAAGAGCCTATAGGCAGAAGAAAGGGATGCGAAAGATAGGAGAGGAAAGATTGGCAGGTGGGCGTTCGTAAAGGGCGGGAATCGGGAGAAATAGAAGGAAATTAGGCAACATGAAAAAAGCGGCAGGAGCAGGGGATTGAAGTACGGGAGGCGGACGGTTTGTAGCCCCTCAAACCCCTCCCTCTCCCCCTTTACGTGTGTGCAGGCGGTTATTCAAAACTGCCAAATCGAAAGAAGTTTAATGTCCAAATCTTTTGTAGGTATGAGAAAAGCGGGAATGTTATTTTCTGAAGTTGAAAATTCAGTCAATTAATTTTATTAAATAATATCGATATAATCTAAGCCAGGGAAACTGAAATAAAACAAGAATCACTGTCCAAGAACTAACTTCGAACTATTTTATTGAAGTACGTTTACGAAAAAAATAAAAGTTGAAATATATATTAGGCTTGGAAATTCACACTGTTTCTATTTTAAACTACATTACGTGGTTACAAGAGAAAGTATTTTTTTTTTTTTCTTACTTGTTTATTATAAAAACTAGCTTTTCCAAGGGAGGATCTCTGCTCAGCTTCAGTTATCTGCGTGGTACAGAGTGGATGATGCCTTCTGTTTGGAGAAAAACAAAATAAATCTTTTTTTAACGGGACAACTTAAAACACTGTCTTAAATGTAAAACCAAAGTGAGGACAAAGGTCGATAAGAAAATGTTTTAATGTACCGGCATGAATATATCAGTGTTCCCTGGAAAAATGTGTTTACAAACGACAGTTTATAATCACAAGCAGTTTTCTTATTGCACCTCTAGTGTTTTTAAGTCGTCTGAGAAAAAAACATTTATCACACGCATTCATACACTTTTGGTTAAATATGGACAGATGCTGTAACCTACACCACTTGAGAAGCTATGCTTGGAAGTAAAAAAAGGTCGGTACGAAACCTAATACGATCCTAATATACATAATGATATGAATCTTTCTACTTAAAAAGGCAATTTAGAATATTATAAAATTCTTATACTCTGTAAAACCTACGCAAAGACATGATGATATAATTATCTCTACTAGAAGCCTATTTAGAAAATTATTCAGTTTTTTATACTCTCATTATCTCATACCTAAAAGAGGCCATCATAATGTGGTTATCTCTACTAAAAGCCTATTTACAATTATATCAAACTCTAATACTCTAATAATTATTATTATGATTATGATTATTATTATGATTATTATCATCATCATTATTATTATTATTATTATTATTATTATTATTATTATTATTATTATTATTATTATTATTATTATCATTATTATTATTAGTATCACTTGTAGTAGTAGTTTTACCAGTGACGGGTCCAGGGGAGCCCCCCCTATTTTTAGACTAAACTGAGACCGGGGCCCCCCTTATCTCAGTGTCTAGATGACCGCCCTCCCCCCCTCCCCTTTATCTAAAGGTCTGGTCCCGCTACTGATTACTGTTATTATTATCATACAGTCAAATTACTTATCACGCACGCCACTCCACTTATCACTCCCTGACGTCTCTATTTTTCATATCAGTAGTATATAAAAGTGTCAAGTTCTTTCTTCCATCACATGTCACAAAAGCAAAACAGGGAGAGATAGACCCTTCCCAGCTTCCATGCGTTAGTGGAATATCATTGGCTCAAAATCTTTCACGCCAGCAGCAACAGACTAAACGTATAGCATTTGTTAAATTGGTCTTTATCTCACTAAATAGTTGTAACTACCTGTAGATGGTAAAGAAAACCCTCATCAAAATGCGAATCGTTGAGACTACCGGCAAATAGGCTGCAGAAATCATGCGTTGAGTTTTCAGGACTTTCTGCCATG